TTCCAAAATTCGTGAAGTAAAATTAATTGTGTTCAAAATATCGATATAACATGTGAAAACAAAAGTCCACAGTCAAGAATAAAAACTTTACTTCTTTCTTTCTCTCTCTTTAATTGGTGCTCTTTATTTCATTGCTTTCGAGAAAACCACTATTCATCAACCACTATCAACGAAAACCGGGAAAAGAATCTGACATATGACTTTGCCGCATCAACGAGGAATTTGTAGAAACTCGAACGTTGAATCGCGCGCGTATCATTGTTCGTTAACTCGCTTGGTCGAAAGAAGAATAGACTTCAAGATGTATTTGAGTTCGAGAACGCTTACCTGTCGAGACAAAATATTGTCGTTGTTCTTTGCCGTCGAGACTTTGATCCGACAAACTTAGATTCTATACGAACGAGTTAAATGAGAAAAAGGGGATCGTGGAAGTTGTGAAATCCTATTTTTCTTTTCCAAATTATTATTATATTTACGACAAGCTCTCGAAATTTGCACGACGATTCATGGGAAGCCAAATAGAAATCGAATGAGAAAAAAAAGATTCAAAGGAAGACTTTCGTTACTAGCTCACTCTGCATAGAAACATTTCGATGATTCTTGACTGGTAGCTCTCCTCTCGCGACGATTTGTCGGATTGCCGTTCGATTTTTCCAGCCTCCACGATCACCTGTATCGAATCTTTCCCCGGTTTCGCTCTTCCCTCTTCGCGCTACAATCTCTCTCCGATAAACGAAAAAGGAACTCATTCCGGACCTATACATTTTCTTCCTTCTCCGCGACATTTTCGACTTTCACGCGACAGAAATTTCGCCTCGACGCCCTACCTTCTTCTCCCTTGCTCTGTCGTGCGCCCGAACTCGCACTTTCGTGCGCGTGCATTACGAACGTATATACGTCGTATATAGAGGAGTGTGTCGCGAAGGGGAATATCGAGACGTGCTGTTGAGAAAGTAAATCGAATCGACGGCATGAACGACGACGTTCCTCACTCAGCGCGTCTCCTCTTTCTTTCCGCTTCCATTGTTCGCCGTCGTCAACCACCCTGTAGACGTCACGATCCTCGACGTGCATATCCATGCATGCTCGCGCAAGCTTTATCGAGTCCTCTTCGAGAGCAACCCTATGGCGAGGCGGACGATGCGATCGCCATCAAAGGTGCCGGCGGCAACGCGATCGGTATGTGGTAATATTTACACTGGGGTCGCATGCACGCGCCCTTCACTGCGTCCCTGCACACCGTTACGCGGTTCTCGATCACCTCCACGTTTCCTGAAAATTACAGAGAAATCAGATCAGTCGGATTATACATATATGTTTGCGCATGAAGTTCCTACGAAATTCCTATCCGTTTCTTCTGTGGAGACTATAGTGTCAAGGTTTCTCAAGATCAAGGATATCAACAGTTTCTGAATCGCGAGCGAAAATATTGAAGATTAAAATGCTATCTACTTGAACACACAGAATGAATGTGCAGTTTTGTGTTCGAGTAAAAGTTATTCCTCGACAGAGGAATTAATTTAAGAGTAATTTTCAATTTAAGAGAAACTGATTCTCTATATAAGTTAAACATAAATACTCTTTGTTTTATTTAGATTGAAGATAATTTATCTTGGATTCATCGCGAAGAAAACTTAATGATGGAATATTCATCGGGTATACAAGAGCTACGCATAAATATTTTTCAAGTCAACGTTAAAGGAATTGATGCAAATTCGCAGCTGTGTACAAATAACGCTCGTTATTCGCAATGACTATATTGTTCGCAATTGATTATGTAAAAAGTATACCGCTAATTATTTCGCGAGCTAGCGAGAAGCGTTTTCTCTTTCGTGCTGTCGAGTTTACCTCGTCTGCTCATTATCGCGAGTGGAACCTAATTGACAGCGGCTTGACAAAAGAGAGATTCTCGTTACATCTCGGCAAAGATCATTCGCATGCTAAACGCGAAAAAAGCGAGTCGCAAACCGCGTTGTAACGGCGTGACGTTTTTAATAAACGCCCCGGAGATAATGAAGGCGATCAACATGACGTCGACATGGACGTCGCAAAACGGAAGTAAAATAAAAACGCCGGACTGACAATCGAACTTCCGAGCGATGAAACCGCGAATGATTTATTGCTCGTAATTGCGACGCGTCTCGCACGCACGGATTGGCAAATCCGTGGAAAATCAAACGACGAATGTGTGAAAGACAAGGCCATAATCGTCGGTGCCTGCTGTCTGCGGGATTAGTTCCGTCACGCAGGAATTTCAATAGTCGAATTGCTATCGTCGCTCGTGATACGCTTATTTTACCGAGAAACTGCAGATTTTAGCGGAAATCTCGTTACTCCGTGATATCGATCTGCGATCGGGGAGAGATTCGAAAATCGACAAAACACCCGATGAATATCAATTCGACGAGTCAAGTATTCTCTCTGCTGAGATATTGGTTCGTATTCTCATTACACATTCGACGTTAAATGTAATCGCGTCATGCAATCATTCCGTGCTTTAATTTTCTCAATATCGCAAATTTTTTAAATATCGATCTAAGGTCAGTTCAAATCATAAAATTGAAAATGGGCAAAGTTATGAAAATGAGAGACTTTATTATACGATTCCTCACAACACACAATATTGAAAACTGACGAGTTTTGATAAAACAAATTTGCAAAGGTAAATAAATGCAACAAAATCAATATTTTTCAATATATTCGAAATCTCTGTTTCAATATAAATTTAAATGGATGATAAAATATAACGATAAAATTCGTTCTTGTATCTTGAAATTAATTATAATCCGTGCATACAACATTTTTTCTCCACGATAATTTTTCAATCACTTTATATAAATAAGTAACGCTTATTCTGCATTTAACTACGCTAATAATTGGAATTTGTGCTCCCAATAACGCTCGAATAACTCACCGTCACTGAGATGAATAAACTTGCAGGCGGGACGGTTGCACACTTGTCGATTAAAATCTTGGCACACCGGGAGGGTGTCCAGTAACTGAAAGAAAATGTGCCAGATACTCTTATAGTGGATGAGATCGGCAAACGATGTACGATATGTGCAAAAAAAAAGAAAAAAAAACTTATCATATCGCAGACACACACACACATGCATTCCCATAAGGATTTGCTTACACACACCAATCATTGCATACACGCGCCAATTATACTTCATGTATCACATTCTCTCTTCCTTTCTCTTTCTCTCTCTCTCTTTCTCTCCCCCCCCTCCCTCTCTCTCTCAAGATTGCTTGGAAATATACCAATACCCGAATTGAATACCTTTTCATTTCTTCTATTGAAATGAAATAATTAATAACATTTAAAATCGTGTCTTATAATAATATTAATAATATACATTCTTGTACTCGCGTTAATTAATTTATCTATATATGCAAAGCAATTTTGGACATTAGATAAATGAAGAATTAATATCGATGTGTTAATTCTTTCAATTTATATTTTATTGATATTATTATGTGATATATCACAAAAATATGAGCATAATTAAATTAATTAATCTATGTAAAAAAGTGTTTGATCAGTGTCAGTATCCACTATTTTTTTAATACATTATTTATTTATATTTCTCCATTTATTTATTTAAAATTCAATTATTATATTGTTGTTATATTATATGAAAATATCGGATGTCTTAGTACATTTCTAAGCATTCTGATCTCACTGAGATATTTTTTGCACAAACATATACTCCAAATTCTTCAATGTTAGAGCATATCCACGATTCATTACATGCTCTAAAAGATCGGTTCTGTATATCAATATTAATTAATTGCTACTAATGTGCGAATAATCAGCGCGATCGAATTGATATTCGAGGCACATGATCCAGACAAATGACTTGAGCGAAACACTTTTCACATTATAACCAACTAATTAAAAATGAAGGATAAAATAAAAGGCGATTGCTTTTGAGTATTCGCACATACGAATTAAATGGTAAATTTGCAGTAGAACTTTCGTTTTCAAATAGGGCATTTCCTATTATGGTATGTATGTATATATTTATCGTGGTGTAAAATATTAAAATAATTCTGATGGACAGAGTCTTACTAAATCGTATTACTTCTATCGAGTGGATATATTCGCGGTTTGTCAGGATTTGCAAAATTGGCTTGACTCTGGACGAAAGAATTGAGGAAATCCGTATTAATTTTACAACACGGGCCGGTTGTGTATGTGTGTGAGACTTTCGTTATGCTAATCTTCGTGATATTTCGGACACAATGTGTGCAAGGAGCGCGCCTAGAAACAAGGATCTTTAATTCGCAAATTTCGTATGATCAAAAATCTACGTACGATCCAATGAAAATATTTGACATAGTAAAACTGTCACGTTCGAATATATATCAGCTTGGATCTCGATACCTATATTTTATTAAAAATTATGTCACAACTTCGTGTCGTGTGCTAGTGAACACCGGATAGAATTTGCGAATCAGATTTGGAAGCCCTCTTCTCAGCGGGCCATTCAGCGCAATGACTAGACTGAAATTTTAGTGTTAACAAAATACGGGAAAGCAACGGAAAGGGATGCTGGCAGGAGCGCTCGAAGCTCTTCGCTCTCCCACGTTTTTTTTTTCTCTCCGTCGCTTTCGTTACCGATCGAAAACGATGTTGGAAAACATCGACTTAATGTAAACTCGGTTTGCGAGATAGGAGCGATAATTACAATATTATAAATGTGTGTATGTATATATATAATATGTACGCACAAAGAGATCCACTATACGCGACTGTGCGTATATCACACTCAAGTGTATTAAACGTACCGGAGGCTATATATCAGCGGAGGCAAGAAAAGATGTTTCGGAGCCGCTTCTCGAATCGCGTAAGCGAGCAATATATTTTTCGCGTGCGCGAAAATATAATTTCACATTTAACATACGGCAAATGGTGGAGAGAAAGACATAAATGCGAGTCGCAGAACATTGGCAATCGAAAGAATACGTATAAAGTGAACCCAAGTGGAAGCGGAAACTCCACCCAGCTACTGCAGCTACTATCCGTTCCTTTTATTACCCATCGGCAAAAAAGATGTATGCATATTATATGTACACACACACGGAAACACACATGTACACTCGTATCTAGGAGAATTATTCGTATATATCCGAAATATATAAGAGACAAATGCAGCAAATAGATTAAACATCAAATTCCAGAGTATGGTTTTCGTGTTAGCAAAACGTTAGGTTAAAGCATTAACAACCTACCAGACAGATATATGTATATGAAAAAAATTAGAAAAAAAATTAAAGGAACAAAATATTATCGCGCAAAAGTATATCATAGGCTTACCATATATGTATTTAAAAGCGTGCAAAATATACGAAAAACATAACGGTATAAAGTAACTTGTTTTAATATCATATAAACACTCAAAGGATTATTCCGCAGATTAGACTCGTAATAATCATGAGATAATAATAATATTAAAGTTATCAGTAATAAAAGTAAAAGTTTTAAACACGTAATGGTGATAGGAATAATGACGGCCATAAAAAAATGTAGCAACAGTAATGATAATTATAACGCTAGTAATAAAAAAAACGATGTAACCATAATATTAACCATATTATAATAAACAATTCTTGCAATTGCATAAGAAATAACTCGCTACGAACACAGAGTCTGGTCATGCAAATAATGGCCCGGGAGAAGGGGGATCGTTGCTTGGGTGATCATCGTAGGTGTTATTCGTCAAGTCGGACGCGCGATATATCAAGTGTGATTGAAAGAAAAAAAAAAAGAAGAAAAAAAAAAGATCGAAGCGTCAATCTCTATTTTACGATACGACGACGAAGGTGACGACGAGAGTGGTCCGTGTATCAGCTGATGATGATAATACAGTGTCATCACCCAAGCGTTAGTGTGCTGCCAAAAGCCGACTCACCGTCGCTTTCGGTTCGCGTGCGTGAATTACAGGACCGTAACACACACATTCACTCACTACTAAAGCTACGGAAGGAAAGAGGTCCTCTCGCAGGTGATCCACGCCGGCGAACCGAAATGACGAGGGGGACGGCCGCGGTGGCGAAAAGGGGGGGGGGAGAAGAATTGGATAGTCAGCGGTTATATCGGCAATATCGTATAATATGGATATGGGATATATGTCGTATAAGCCGTCAAATTAATAATATTCTACTGCAAATAAGTTCAACACTATGTCAACTGCGACTCCGCAACCATAACGACAGAGCTAGCCAAATATTATAGATAAGTGACTTTAGGTAATTCGATAGAGAATAATGCGTGACGATCGATATTATTGAATTCGATCGTCTTTCATATGCGGGGAAAGCTTTGTCAATGGAAATGGTCATTGGTTTTCGAATTATCGGGCAAAGATGTAAGAGCTCGCGCGCGCGCGTTTCTTTATTCTTCATATGTATATCCATGTATTCTATATTCTGTACCTCGTAAGTTAATTGCGTCGAAAGCAATCAGTGCAAGCGTAAGAGACACTCCGTGTCGTTCTTTGACCAATTAAGCGGAAATTGAGCGATTCGAGCGATTGAAAGCTGCGTGTACATTTGCTTCAAGTCGTGACAAAGATCTCGATCCTTTAGTCGCTCGAGGTTGAAAGGTTTGCGCGAGACATGTACATTTGCCTTGAATTAAAATTACTCGAATTTTAGTGCAGTTTACCTCGAATATTTGGTTGTGAAATAGCGTTAGTTTTCATAGTTGTATGATAATTCGGAAAACAAAAGTACAAACGCGTTATTCATTCTCATGAAAATGTTATATTACGTTGATATGTTTTGTCGGCTCTTTGATAGCTTTTTGAATTTACATCATAATTATAATTATAAATCACGCCATTGTCATTGTCCAATGAAAATACTACGACTTATCGATTTTTTAACGACTCAAAATATAATCGGATCAAACTTTCACGCGCATATGATACACCGTACAAACCGTTCTAATATTTATGACGAATACTACGAATCGTGTAATGGGAATATTGACGCGAAGCATGCGATATATCAACCAGAGGATACGAATTATTATACTGCATTTTTAAAAAAAGAATGAATTGAACTTTTGCTAAAACTTTCATTGACGTAATCAAACTGTGCAACTGTGTTAATACTTTACTGTATATCTTATACGATTAGAACAATCCACAGTACATATATGGCAATATGTGTGTGTAAGTTTTAATGAATTAAAGATTATTTATTTTTTAATAAATTTATAGAATATTTACAGTTTTTTTGCATTTTAATCTTTTCAACATTTTCAAACAAGATAAAAACTGACGTTTGGTATTTCTGACATTTATGGCAAGCGAGAAAAAACGCGATTAGCTAAGAAATGTAATGTAGCTAAAAAGAATCATAATTTCCGCAAAGTAAATTTCTGCACTGCAGGTAAATTATCAAGGCGTGTTTTAAAAATGTGTTTCATGTCCCCTGGTTGCTCGATACGCGTTTTCTTAGTGTCAACGAAAGTATAATATTAATGTGCATGCACAGTATACACGCCCGACACTCGTAACAGCTGTCCGTATCGTATGTTACTTGCGGTAAGATGCACTGCGAGAGAGAGAAAGAGAAAGAGATATAGAGAGAAAGAGAAAAAAATAAACAAATAGAATACTGAAGCGTACAAGGGTGGAAGTTGCTTCTCAGACGATAGCATTAGAGATTCAAATTGTAACACGGATACAAAGAAATGTTTAAAAGACATCCCGACAATATCCTCATCCACAAATAACGCGCAACGTTAATCAGACAAGCGATTCAAGACAATGGCATGATAGATATAATAATAATAAAAAGAAGAATAATTATATATATATATAAAATTATTTTATATATATATATATATATAATATATAGATACATGGCAAATTGTTTAATTGCAAAAGTACTAATTATACTAATTACTGTATAAGAAGCGTGCATCTTTTTTCTTCGTGAAACAGATTTGTATTCATATCCGTGTGTGTATGAATGTTCGTATGCCTGTGTGTATATGGGGTAGAGGGGCCGGGGGACGTAGGTGACGACAACGCTTTCGAAATAGCATAATAATAATTACTGGTATATAATAATAGACAAACACCAGATAAAAGGCAGTGGTTATTCGCAGTTATAGTTGCGGTGAGCAGTCGTGAGGGAGATGCCCCCGAAAGCTACGTGTTAGCCAAAGTTACCGAGAGATGCGGATTATGTAACGGGACTCGCTCTTTAAACTAATCAAACAAACATCAAGTTTCCTGCTATCTAAGCGGTGCGTGAATAAAAAACAAAGCGGATTATTCATAGAGCGATGACCGAGATTATCCTTCTCTCTCGTTAACTTCGAAGGTTAGCAGCAATTAAAGTTCGAGCTTGCATCACGGAGCGCCATACATTTTTTAATTTTTCCAGTTGGAAAATATATCACAGATCAATGTCTACTTACGTTGGGAAAATGTTACGACGTGTATAAAGTCCATCGCTTGTCGCAATGTTTTACGAAAAACAATGCGAAAGTGAAGGAAGTAATAAAACGAGATTCCTTGAAGCTCGATCGGTGAAAAGCAGTCACCTCGCGATTACGATCTTCAGGGAATTGAACAGGGACTCGTCTCGCACTGCGATCATGCGATCACAGGCGCGTGTGATGCAAACTCGAGACCGGATAAAAAACTGGTTACAATAATGAGTCTACCTGTCCGCAGCTGTCTGTGTAGACGACACAGTGAGCATTTTGGGGGACCACTTGGGCCCCGACAGTGGCTAAGGCTGCTAAGGCGATCCACATGCAGCAAACGAGGCAGTGTTCGTACGGTATTTTTTTTCAAGTATCGATAGTTTTTTTTTTGATGGTGGTTTTTTTCATTACCACACAGTCGGTTGAATTCGGTGGAGAAGACACCAGATCAAAGGAGACACGCGTGGAGCGTGTCCTCGGAGCATCCAGGTACATGTACGACAGTAAGATCGAATTTTTGTTTCGTGTGTTATCGTTCGGTTTCAAATTTTTTTAATACGCATCGTTCATTTCATTATGATATTATTATTATTTTTTTAATTAAACACTCCACACGAGGGACCATGATGAGTCGTCGGTTAAATTGCAGTCGCAGCCGTTCGTCGTTCCGATAAATATGCGCGCGAGAACACGCCAGGACGCGAATGAAAAAAAAGCGCGAATGAGAAAAATGAGAGCGTAAATTACGGAAAACGAAAGTGTAAATCGTCGGCTTGTCGTAGCGTCCGCGTGCGCGTTTCGTTTATTTATCCATTTATTTTATTTTTTTTTTCGAATTCGCGTTTACACACGCACGGTCGAGTGTGCGATGCGAATTTCGGAATGTTGCATCGCCGCATAAAGAGCGAGCGAGCGTGTGTACGGATGAATATATGTGTATGTGTGTGTATAATACGCATGTTCGCACGCATTATTGTGCATTTTTAGATTTCGGCGAACGACGACGCATGTAGCAGAGTGTGTCGCGCAGTTAATGGAATCCCGATTTTGATTTTGTCCGCGGGTGATGGGCGGGCGTCGAAATAATGCGGTGCACACATACCAAGCCAGCGTTTCAAGAGAGAGAATATTCATTATAGTAATACATAATATATATATACGTGTATTTATATATATATAAATATATATATCGGAAAAAATGGGAGATTATATATAAATGTATGTGCACGATAAAAAGCCCGCGTACGGATATAGAGGCAAAATTCGGGAAAAATCAATCAACCGATCGGGCCGAAGCACGTGATAAAGCGGAGAACAGGAGCGTGTGTCAGGTCGCCGCCACCCATCGACGAGCGTATATGTTACGTGTGTTTTTCACCGGCATTATCATTTCGTTTATTTTTCGTTTTATCACCGCGAACCATCGTTTTCAAGTTGCACGACAATGTTCGAATCCGTACGCCGTTTTATTTCGTTCATTCGTTTGCCAAATATTTATCGAACGATTCGGCGTGGTCGTCAACGAACAGGAAACAAGTTCAACGATTGTGAGAAACGGGCAAAAAGGGAGGAGAGGAAGAGAGAGAAAGAGAGAGAGGGAGAGAGAAAGAGAGAGAAGAGCGCCGACAAAATCCATCACCAAAGTTCGTCCACGATTGGTTAGCAAACGGGAAAAAATAATTGGCGATTTTTCAAGTTTTAAGTGGCGTACAACAAACGATATCTCGCGTTGTTATTATTACGCATTTGCCGTTTACGCGTGAGATTGTTTCGCGAGTTGTCAGGTGACAATAAACATTTTTAATGGTATTAATTTTTTTTCGCAAAAAATTTCCGACGTATACGAGTGACGAGAAAGTTGATCGCACAATCGCCACGCGAGTATAGTTTATCCGATCGAGATGAGGCCAGGATCATGGGTGACCGGGAGGTGGGGGGAACCATTGTAGGAAACCATCGTGATCAATCGTCGAAGGTTTTGGAGATCAATTGGAAGATTGGATCGGCGTCACGTAGGCCACACAGGATGTTGCATCGGGATCGAGTCGGGATGAAAGCGTCGGCGTGGGTAGTGGATCAAACGGTATGCGTGTTGGTGAATTTTCGGTTGAAAGACGTGCGATGGGTAATATCCAGGCGAGGGCAAGCATGAAACAGAAAGTTGAAAGAGAAACCATGAACGAACGCGTCTTAACATGCACCAGTGACGTATGTGTGTATTCTATCTCTATGTGTATGTGTATTTATACGTGTAATAAACACATATATGTATAGTGGCTGGCACACATTCGTCTCGAGCCTGTCGTTAGAAGTCGCACGTCGATTCATTTCTTGCGCTGCAAACGAATCAAAAGGTGTATTGAGCAATGTACAAGTGAAATTAATCGTACACATCTCTCTAACACTCTGTGGCTCTCTCCCGAAAATCGGCAGAGGTAGCCGCAGACAGCGAATCCTTCGAACGAGTACGCTCTCGTGCATTCTCTTCTATAAAGCGTTGCGTTTTACGTTACACCGTGTTTCGCATGCGCTAGTAAGTGTTTATATTCGAGTTTTGTCGAGGCGACAGTTTGACCAGGCAGTAGGTACAGATGACTTCCCATTTGGAGCAATTGATGCATTTCCAGAAAATATCGAATCCAAATTCGCGCTAATCAAAATCGCTTCAAATTAGATTATTTTTCATTTCAAATAACAAACATTTCGAGTTTGTAAAATCTCTGAAATTATATATACTTACATTACATGCATTATTTTCATATCGCGATTTTTTTCAATAAATTTAAATCTTATAAAGTTTATTTTTTTTTCATCAACTTGACATATAATAACTGGATGAAGCTAAAAATTAGTACAGTCGAAAAAGTTTGAAATTTTGATTATAAAATTTATATTTATTGAATTAACTTATAATTCGCTACACAATTTATTATTCAAATGTTATCCCGAATTATTGTATTTTCTCTGAGATTTTAATTTCTCAATATTTAGTTATTATATCAATGTATTAAATAAATTTAGATTAACAAGAAAATAAATTTATCCCTAATTCTTCGCAGATGTATATTGTGATCTTTCTAGATATTTAAATGTCTCGTTTTTTTTTGCGAATTTGCTTTTCACATTCGTTTCTAGGAAATGCACTTGGCACGCAAATCGGGGGCTACTTATTCAACTAGAATATGTCGTATGGGAAAGATGCTCAGATTGATGTAAGCACACATGAACTTACTCTGTATCTACTACAAAGTATGTGATTTTGCGCCAATGTTCTAAATAGCCTATTAAGTATAGTAGAATAAGTTTTATTAAAATGACGATGTGGAGCTAAAGCTTGCATATGCGATACAATAAAGTGCTACTGCGATACTTACATTGGAAACAGTGCTGCATGTTGATTTTAATATCGGCGCAGGTATGCGGGTATGCAAGGAAGCGTCGCTTTTGCGTTCAAAATTCTTTAGAGCACAGAAGAAGATAGACAGCGATAAAAAATATTGATTATTATTAATGGCAAATTTGATAAGGATCTTGGATAGACGGCTATATTACAGAAGCACATATAATCTTTTATTAGCCACGAGCGCAGGAAATGACTTGCTCTTGTACAGCAGAATCACTACTAGAACCTTTCTAGTAAACATAAACGAATTTTCTCTCGAATTTCTGTCGATGTAAATGCTTAAACAACAATCAGATCGCCGCCGATTCAATCATCGATATCATTAATATCATTAATGCGAGAATCCAATCACGCTGGAACCCCATCATTTACGTTCGCGAATCGTTCGTTGTATCCAGAGAATTGGAGTGTAACGACAAATCATCCTGAAATCGTCATGGATCGCACTTCCGGATTAATTTGCTTCCGTACGCGCGTGAGCCATAAACTCTTCTTTACGCACTCGCGTGCAGTTGCGTATATTTGTTACACAATAAATAAATAAAATATAAATATATATATTTTGCACGCTAAAAAAAATTTCATAAATTATCCAGAATTTTTCATGAGTCTTTCCAAGGCTCTTCCTTTTACAGCCAAAATTCATGATGCACGTTTTGAAATCGCACGGTTGAAATCGCAGAAAATTATGTTGAGATGACATATATATAAAGGAAAAAAATAGCTTGAAATTACTTGCGATTTACTACGTGCTGCGAATGGCTCTGCTCGTCGAACATGACGGAAGCGGCAAACGAGGCGCGTCTAGAAGCAGCTAGCGAAGTAACTTTGCTGCGATAAGATACGAGGCTGTAAACAGGATTACACGGTCCGTAAATCGTAATAAGTATTGCATACACTTGAAACGGCAAGTCAATTTTTGATAAAAAGTGTCATTTACCGCCTCTTAGCTTATCGCACGGTTGCGTAGCACGACCTGCGAAGATCAACGATTCCAACATGACGAAGACAATTATCTCTGAAATGAAATTTTTCGTTATTGTGCAGATTGCGATTATATTTTGGAACCATGATCTTCGACTTTTTCGTCAAGATTTTATATTTACAATAGGGGCTTATTGTGCCAAGCGTTATGGAAGAGCTCATTAGGCACACACGCACATCTTACGCAGGCTTAGCGATGAGTAACAAAGAAAGCTGGAGAGGAAGCGAGAGGAATGCAGGATGATGAAGTGGGGGACATACCAGAATATTTGAAAAAGGTCGTAATAAGAGAAACTAAGTTCATTACATCACATGCTTTAATTATCAATATCGGGATAATAACTTTATTTCGAACAATTCTTGTATCTAGTTTTCGATCAAAATTTTCAAATCTTTCAAAAATACAAAAGCCGCGTACTACGAACGTAGCGTAAATAATTTCGAGTTTCGCCGAGAAACAACGATATCGCAAATTTAACTTGAATTCATTATGTTTGTGGCATAAAAGATTTTAGTGACCGAATTAATTAACTAAGACCTTTATTCCGGTACTGCATCTCGAAATTTATCTTACGTTACATCCGAAATATACGACTTGGGAATACGATAAAACGCGATAAGAGCGCCGACCTTCTTCTCGATGACGATCGACCACCTTTACCGGGGATCGGAATTTGATGTGGCGATTGTATAGAATAATAGGATCGAGAGATTAAGGGTCGACGTGTGTGTCTGTGTATATATGTGTAAATGTGATCGGAGAGAAGGATAGGGTATAGACATTAATATACCCAGATACATCTCCGTGCCTCAAAAATATCGCAACTAAAGCGCGGGAGAAGCCGTGAAGACGGAAACGAAGGTAGGCGGTGGACGTGTGAAGAGATTAATTACGGGAAGCGGTAAAGAGGCAAGAAGAGGACAGCGAGTCGTACGGCATTTTTTTACGGTGTTCGCCATAGTAAAAGCGGCTAACATCTACATATGATCTTAAGAGAAGACCCGCGTGCTTGGCGTAACTCCCTCGCGTGCTCTCGGCGATAACAAAGAGATCTTGCAGAATCACAGGAGAAAAAATTCGCCACGGTTCGTGGATGCAACGATGCACGACCGCGATAGATGAAGTATCGCCGAGGGCACGCGACAAAGAAGGGACACCTTGCGATTTTAAGGAGGGGAACATAATTGTCGAAATTAACATAAGTGTGTTCGGAAAGAATACCGATCGCAGCGGAAGAAACAACATGTGATAACAACGATAATAATAATAATAAAGATTAAAAATAAAGTAGACTAACGAAAAGGAGAAGAGAAAGTGATTACGATATAAGCATCGAATCGGACAGATGAGAGGAGATTAAAAATAAGGGAAGCAGGAAGCGCGAGGCTAAGACTGTGAGCAATAATGGGCGCAATATATACATATAATATATGTATATATATATATATATATAAATGTAAATATTACAAGGATTATATATATAGCGAGTCTCTCGGGAAGAATTCTGTTTCATTTTTCTTTTTATCATAGAAAGAGATGAAATAAGAAAGAAGCATTAATAAAACAAATATTCATGCATTTCTCAAGCATTATTATTACAAATACTGGCTGACTCCTTGACAAACCCCGTGTGAGCGTGCACGCGCAAAAAAAATGTCGCATTCGGGACTGCGAGATCGACTGCATCTATCTCGAGTCGGCGGCGCAAGCTGTCGCGTTTCATCACTTATATTCGTCGTGCCTCGCGCGAGGACGACGCCAATCCTGACGTTCGCAATCGGGACGCACACACATAAACGCGAGTACACACAACACGGTGATTCGAAAGAGTTCGGACAGACTCGCGTAAAGATCTGCGCGCTCGCGCGCGCGCGTACAATTGTTGCGCCAAGTTTCCTGCATCTACATTCCCGGGGTCGTGCGTAATGTAAATTCTCGATATATCGATATTATACATATGTGTAAGTTTGGATTCGTGTGTATGTGTGTGTGTGTGTGTGTGTGTGTGTGTGTGTGTGTGTGTGTGTGTGTGTTTACATACAAATATGTATAATAATGTACAATGAAGAATTTTAAAGACACAGTATACATTACATAATAATAAATACTAGATGTATGTGTTGTATATAGTTATATTCGTAAAATGTTTCTCTTTCTCGTAATAGTGTCTATCGTAATAGTGTAACTCGAACATGTGTGTATATGCAGCTTTATATATATACACATAGTCCACAAAATAATTTCCTGTATACGTGTAATCAGCTTTATCTTGCCAAGTATGTACTCTTTTCCTTCCTTCGTTGCATCGCGGTTAACTTACATGCAACAACGACAAATACGTACGTGTATATATGTAATTCATTATTATATTAATATTATAATTTGTTTAATAAGGATATATAAATATAATCATATATATATCGCGCGTGTAAGTTCTTTTTTTTTTTTATCGTAGTGTTTCTCTCTTGTGTCGCGAGTTTAAATAATGTAGGCATCTGTTGTATACGCGTGTGTGTGCAATGGTGTATAGAGTGCAAGGGGAAGGCACTTCCGCTGTTTTGCCGATTTCACACCGAAAACACGGGATCGCGTTTTCTCGCTTGTCCATCATCGTACAAGACGCGCAACACTAATACACGTGCTCTTTAGAAGAATACTCTCCTCTAGTAAAATATAACGAACATTATTCCTCTTATGTGGAAGTATGTAGATGGCTTTGCGAGACAAAACAATCACAGTTCTAAGGAAACATTTTGCTACACGATGCAACGACGGATGACTGATCGATCTTCCGAGCATCGACGCACCGAGGACGTCACATTCCGGGTTTTCGGTGTGAATTCAAAAAAAAAAAAAATTAATAATCAGCCACCCTCTCGATAATGTACGTATATAATTTGTAGACATCAAGTTGAGGAACCCTAAAAGTGTCGGTCCGGTATTTCAGGCTCGAGCCTATCGTCGTCGACTCTCATTATCCACGGACCTGTTGTTTGTAGAGCCGTTAAAGTCGAATCCTCGGCTTATCGAGAACCGATTAAAGGATTTTGTTTGTCGATGACCTTACGCATTGTCATCTTCTCGAGTCCTTTAGCGCCATGATATACAACGTCATAACCTGACAACGTGTGGCATCGTAAATGCCGATCGCGTATAATCAAGGGCACTGAAAGAACTGGTCTTATTCCAGTGTTTCGCGCATGCGAGAATAGTGTATGCGTGTACGTGTGTACGTATAGGTGTCATACATTACATATTATCACAAAGGATCCGCACGTGCGTTCATCGTAGAATAGAAACAATTTCTTCATCTCGGGACGAGCGCTTCGATAAATTCCGCTGCTCGATAGTGCTTACGGCGTTTGCCGTTGTCGAAGAATTTTCTCGCGTGACATTCGTTATGGAAGACCATGGTATCCTTGAGAATTCTCAATTTTGATTCCAGAGTAGTGACGTGTAACCCTCACTGCTTTACAAAAACAAAGAACCTCGTCGAACATCTATTCTCAGCTTTAGAGCAAGTAAATGATTTTTGTATTAATTATAATATTCATAAATTACAAATATAGACTGTCATTATTTCAAATATACAGATTGCAATCACATTAAAAGAGAAACAATCGTATCACTTCAGTCTTATAAATAGATAGTTTACACTATGGAAGAGATACTTGTGAAGTAATCACTTAAATATCATTAAAAATATGCTACGTTATTTTTTACCGTCTTAATCTTTTTTATTTACGTGCAAAAATATTGTAATACATAAACAACAGATAAATAAAAGAAATATTTTTATCTCAAGACTGTAATAATTTGCCCCCTCACACATACTTTGTGCATTATTTATAATATTATATCTACGTGTTTTGCAATTCGATTATTAATAATATAATCGCTACTCTAGAATCATTATGAGATAACTCCTGTTCTACAATCTTGTGCGTTTTTTTTTTGCATAAATAACGTTATGATCCTGAGGAAGAAGTTGTTTCTAATGTCGCGGAAGAACCAAAGAGATTGAGGAAATTTATGCACTTCTCTCTTTTCCGTCATCTTCAATTTTCGTGTTTTCTCGAGAACTACAGTAATCGAGAAATACAGTAAGAAGCGATTCGAATAAATTTCTCAGCGACTGTAATTCGCCATCTCGCGACCGGATTAAAATTAGAGACTTTTGCGATTTAAAATAAATAACACATCGTGAATGGAATGAAGTTTCGTCGAGAGAATAAACTTTACTTGCGCGTGAATCGCCGCGATCCAAATACCTCATCTCGTTCTGTTCTTCCGCGTTTTCGTGTACACAAATTTTTACCGTTGCACAATTCGTTCGCTCGGTTTGCGAAAATTACGATACGCGACCGGCCGTTTCGTTCATTATCCGCTACACGTGTCAGCGAGTGCTCCTTTCCTTATATATGTACATATATACATACATACATACATATATATATATATATATGCACATACATAAGTAACTCTGATAGATAGATATAATTTCGAATTTCATTTCTGTATATATATAAAGAAAGATTATTTACAAACTCATTATATATATGTATATAGTACATATGCATACGTACATACGTATATATGTTTAACTATGCATCTCGACTTAAAGAAACTTTCAAATCACTGGCAGACACGTGAATGCGGACAGAGAGAGAGAGAGAGAAGAGCAGGTGCTCGCGTTTTCTCGTAAGACGCATGCGAGAGCCAACACCAGCACCGCATAATCCTCCGCTTTTCTCTCTTATCTCGTTATACGCGAGTTAATAAAAATATACGCAGTATCTATCATCTAAATATCGTGTGAGTGTCTTAGGTGTTACCGTTTGCGCGGTCGTGTAATATGATGCGCATGTGAACGTTCGCTTTCCTTCCACCCCTCCCGAAGGGGGTGATCAACGAGACGTTTTTCTCCTCCCGTCTCACCGCCTCCATGCAAGATTAGACCATTTTTTTGTATTCCCTCCTTTCTCCATCGAATTCCACGTAAATTGCATCCGCGTATTCCGCGGATCCGCAATTTTCCGGTTTTTTTTCTCGTCTGTTACTTCTCTCATTCGGCTAAATGCATAAGCTCGTAGATCGCGAATTGACGAAGTTCACTTTGTGCAACAGACTCCCCCGAATTGAATCCATCAGGACAGAAGAGTACGTTGTGTTCGAGCACGCTTACGCTAAAGATATATAGATACGCTAACTAAAACAAACGACTATCCTAAATTTTACGAATACTATATAAGACAAATAAAGGCCCGCCGGAAATCCTCCCGGTCGGGTTTATACTCGTCGATGTGCAAGATACTTTTAGGAAATGTATGTTATCATATATAGACATAATATATCCTTAAGTCTAAACGGAAAGAAATACAAGTCAAATCAATAAAAATTTTAAAACAACTCTCTAAACATTAACAAAGATATCACGGCATTGTATGAGCCTCGTATATAATCCAAAATATATCTCGGATATATTTATATAACAAAGAAACCAGTTTTTCTTTTAAATGTACTACATAACATTAAAAATGCGACAATGATTTGCGCGATTATTTAACCTTGTTCCGCGATAAACAAGCAAATAAAAGATTTCGAACGTATTATTACATTACATAAACAAATAAATCTAATAAAATAATCTAACTTCGCATAATAATCATTTCAAGAATCTGATCGCTGATTAACATTATGCTTAAAGGCAAGTATCGCACATAACGTGACATAGGCCGAGCGTTGTTTTCATCTTCCTTCTGACGGACGTTACGTGTTAAAATTTGGACGAATGACTATAACACAGAAATTTATATAGTTCCGAAATAAAAATATTGCGGCGTCAATCTTACGACGCAAATATATTGACTTATTTACAATTTATCTTATTAAAAAAAAAAGAACGAAACAGTCACGCGAAACGACACATAACACTTTTAACGATGGTCTCTGTGGTAAAATAACGCTAATTAAAACGGCAAAGCTAAACTATTTCTACATATTTGCGCAAAATATCGCCATTATTCTAAGAAAAAAAGCAAATAAAATAGGCAATTGATATCATCTGCAATTCTTTCGGCCACGCTCGATGTTTCGCAGACTCTCCCGCCCCTCTTTCGAACGCGATCTCGATCGGCCAGTCGTTTCAGATTCACTTCGATAGTAACAAAATCGGAACGATATAATCATGTCTCCTCATTCGGGCAAGTAATTAATGCGGCGGGAAAAAATCTCGCACTTCCTCGCGTTGTTTACCGTTCTCTTTTGCGGTTGTACGCTCGAAACGCTCCAAATGGAATCGGGTCGATAAGGCACTTTACCGACAATGTCTGACTAGAAAATGAATCTATTTTCGGAACTTGTTTTTTTTTTCTTTTTTATATACCAGCATTTCACCTCTCGCTTTGCAGTCGCTCAGCTAAACAGTCTGTCCCTCTCGCGAACAATGATCGATTTCTCGCTTCTTGAGCACCGATGATGGAGATTAATCTTAGAACTGCACTCTTGTCTTACTACATTTCTCGTTGCACTATCGTTACAGTCGAAGATTAAAAAATACGCAATTTTTTGACAAAAATTAAAGCTAACAAATTGCAAATCGACATTTTTGTAAGATTACACAAAGAACATATAAATAAGGAATTTATTTCTATCAGGAAAAAAAATAGTAAAGTCAAATAACAACAAATGAAAGGGGAATTCATTGAATTCCGTCATGAAGTTTATAGAGAAAGCTATAACATTCTAGGACTAATTCCCATCTGGTTTCGCGCAAACACAAGTATCAAATAATTATTTCGAATTATAGATTTAATGTATTTTATTAATTTTGTAAAGCAAAGCTTATGTAACCGCGATTATGTCTAGATATAGTCAGTACAATCTGATACCGACTAAGATTATCCTACAAGATACGACCGCAAAACTCTACTCACTGTAACGTAATCATTGTTACGATACATCGCGTTTCTGCTAATCGTAAAGATCTTTTTAATTCTAAAATTATCTAAAATATATCGCGCTAACGGCAATCATTATCCGTAGTGACTAATTGCGGAATCGATCACGCTCGTTCACGCGAGGGAGAGAACGGGAGGTGCCCAGAGGGGGAAAGGAACAGTACTTTCTCGCGAGAGGAGACGGGTCCTCCCGAGCCGGCGGTCAAGGATCTTTACGATGTCTTCATCTTCTTGTACGGCTGCATAATCACCCCGGAGCTGACCGGGATCGCTACTTGTGGCTGTGCGGCTATCGTCGCCGGGTTGCCTATCTGCGGCATTTGCGGGACGGCCGATACACCGGGTACGCCGGCCATTCCGGGTAGAACGGCATACGGATTCTGGACGTAGGGATTGGTCTGCATGGTCGCGGCACCGGGAACAGCTTGGACATAGGGATTCGGCAAGATCTGCTGCCTGATCAGGGAATATGGATTAATCGGGGTGGCCGTGGGTGGCGGTCTCGAGTACGCCAGGATACCGGCCGACAGCGGTGAGGTCAGAGCGCTCGGGATACCGGCCAGGCTCGAGATGACAGGTCTGGGAGTCGCCGCGGTGGCCTGCAGACCAGCGGCGGCGGCGGCGGCAGCGGCCACCGCGGGATTCCCGGCGGCGGGATTCATGAGGTGATTCTGCTTGTTGAGAGCGACGCCGGTGTAATTGAGCGCGGCCAGTTGGCTGAGGCCGTAAGACTGAGAGGCTTGCGACATCTTAATAGCCTTGGCGTAATTTTTCTGGGCGACCTCTTTGGCGAGAGCCGCGGGATCGAGAGAGGCTGGTAAACCGGAGGCTGTCATTCCAAGACTGTTGAGCATGTTTAGACCCGCCATATTGGAAGCAGCGTTATAATTGCCTATGGAGCTCATATTCGTTATAGACGACATGTTCGCCATAGAGGCCATAGAGGCCATCGAGGCCATGTTCACCATGCTGGGCATCGACGTCAGGCCGGCCATCGAAGTCAACGGACTCATCGCTGGTGGCAGAGCCAGCTGATTGATCTGCTGTTGTTGCTGATGCTGCTGTACCTGCTGCTGTTGTTGCTGCAGCGACGACGACGGACGCGAATGATTCAATTCGGGAGAGTTACGCGCATTTTCAACATCATGATTCTGCGTAGTAACCGACTGCTTGTTATTGCCATTACTATTGTTACTGTTATTGTCAGCGGTCGGAGGCGGCGGCGGCGGATTGTTGCAGGGATCCATCAGCACGCCATTGTTGGCGTCGGCGCAGTTATTGACTGTGGCGCCGGCGGCTCCCTGGGAGGAGGAGGAGGAGGATTGCACCACCATCGCGTGGTGGTTGCTTTGCACGTTCGAGGGTTGCACGACCGATTGGTTAGAGGTTTGGGTGGGTAGGGGTGGTGTTCCAGTGTACTCACATGACACAGGCACGAAGGGCTGCTGTAACTGCATTAACTGCTGATAGGTCGTCGCGCCGGTAGGCTGATAGACCGGCACGCCGGACTTGTCGGCCGCCGGTCGTTTATACGGAACCATCCCTGGGAAGGCCTGCAAAAAGAATTGCCAAAGACATCTACGATTAGAACGGGTGATGATACGAGCGACGTGGCCGCTCGAGCGGAAGCTTCCTACTCCGTGAAAGCCTCGACTCCGTTTCGGCCGGGGATACGATATTATTGTTCGTGAGTTTTCTTGATCCAGCCGTGCAGGGGACGTCGGGTTTGACGTTTTTTAAAGCGGTCGAAAGGCCGAGTCCTTTCGTTCTACAATCGAGTTTAATGATTTGCGTAGCGAATTCATTTCGTAAGATGAGTCGATATCGATATGCTATTATTTACAGCGCTTTTTCGTTCTCTTTGCAAAACAATCGCATCAATGGAATTGCATTTGAATCTTTGAAAACTTGCGATATCATTGTTGTTTTACAAAAGTACTGAAAAACAAACCGCTGTTATCTCGTTATCGATAACACTTCATTTTACGATGTTTGTAAATTTAAGAAAAAAAATTTCATCACTTTTGATGAAATTTTACTGCAAAAAATTTTGTATCTCCTTGATGGACATCTCCACTAGACGGGAGATCTCCACTAGATCGTATCGATCGATTGTACATTAATCGCGACTACAAGCAGTGAATACTAGCTGTGATACGCGTGAGGAAACGAATCACAGCCGTATGAATTATGATTCAGTGTTTAGGTTCTGCACTTACAAAGTTCTCGTAGTAGAACGACCCGACAGACTTCATGTCCATCTGCAACAAAGACAGGATCGGTTTCAACTAATTTCGAGGAGGAGGCGCGTTGCGTTTGTATAATTGGATTTTCGAGACGGGAAACGAGAGAGGGTCGCGTCTCAAAGAAACGGAGAATGGAGACGATGGCGCGGTGAAGAAGGGTGTTTGGATTGTGGTAGTGTGTAAAAGTTGTGCCGATGACGCAGCTTGCGGCGACGTTTCCCAAACGACGACGTTTCGTTGTTGGATAACTGCAAAATGTTTCGTTCGTTCTTTCTTTCTTTCTTTTGCACTTTTCCTCTGTTTCTTTTTTTTTTTCTTTTTACTACTGGGAGCGTGTCAGAAAGACCAGCCATTGTACTAGTATCGAGAACCGTGCGCGGCTCGATTAAAGAGAGACCATCGTTCTGCATTAATAAACGATCAAAGTACCGATCGGAAAACTGCACTGTCGCTTTCCTATTGAAACCATTGCGAGAGCGAAGGAGCAGGAATCGCGCGCTGTGATAAATGTCGATGCTAATGCGTTCGACCTGAAACCTTTTCGTTCGTTCTCGCGAGATAAACGCGAGACAAATGAGTCTTTTCCTCGAGCAAAACGAAGAGAATGAAGAGAAAGACATAAGAAAGAGACAGAGAGAAAGAGAGGGGAGAAAGAGAGAGATGGAGAGAAAAAGAGAGAAAAGAGCAAGTCCGACAAGAAGAATTATTAATAAAAAGCGCAATTGGGCTCAGAGAACAAAGGGCTTCGCGATACCGACGAGATGCGAGAGATTGGCAACAACACGGATTCACGAAAGCTGATAGAGAGGCTTGCGGTGATATACGTGGCGAGCGGGCTTTACCTTGGTAAAGTATCGTCTGCGCGACAAAACGCGTGCAAAGACGTAACAAAGAGGGGAAAGAAAGCTCAACAAATCAAGATCTCTATCGAGGTGTGACACGTTCGAGTTAGAAGCTGCAGAGCTAAAAACGAGATGCAGAAGCTCAGAAGCTGATGGTAAAAGTAACCGGGAATGAAACATATCGTCGCACAGCGGCATAAATACATACATATATGTATATATGCGTGTCATAACAGCACGCGTGTTTCACACGCAAGTGGCACGAAGTCAATGACGACGCACGGATATACGATTGTGCCGCGAACGACTCTGCTGGATCACATACGCAGAAAGTAAATGTAATTGCGAAATTATGTCGCCAGTAAGCGTGTGCGCGAAAGCGAAGAAGCGTCTCATTGCGTTTTGATTAATTAGAAATGTGCAACCGGCTATCTCACGCGAGAGGAAACGTCCTTTCTTAATTTTTCATACCGTCACCTATTAGGATTTTCAAAGGTATAATATATATCGATAAATAAAAAAAAGATTTTTTTCATCAAATTTCTTGATTTGGCTTTTCTAGCCACGTATTAAAAATGTCGCAAAAAAAAGTTAGCGCACTTTAGGAAAGCAAATATCCACGTATATTACAAAATGTAACAATTAATGATATTATTTCTTACGATAATTTAGACTTGACTATGCTTTTTAGCTAAAATTTTTAAAAATGTTACATTTTAACAATTTTTGGGAATTAGACATAAATTTATTTCTCCACTCATAAAAATTGAGTCCTTATTAGAATATAGTTCACTTAAAATTTTCTAGAAAAAGATTTTTTTTGTTCAATTGCGTTGAGAAAACGACTTGAATTGAAATTCACCATAGGAAAACATCCCTAATTCCTAGATGTTATGATACATCCGGTATATCTGTACAACGAAAATCCATTCTGATTCGGTTGTTTCGATATTATCACGGTTCAAAATTTTGGTTCCAGAATATTGATACACTTCTATAAACAAGGATTTTGCATTCTTATGAATTTATACGAATTCTCTGCAGGCACTTTTTTCCTTCTTTCTTCGTGCATTGAAAACTCCGTCCCGAAAATACCGAGAAGTTATGCGCGCTTTCCGAAAGAAAACCCCTATTTGTACAACGAAAATCCATTCTCGTCCTGACGCCCGAAGTTAGAAAGTTGCACATGGATAAAATCACGTCTCAAGCCCGAACGAATCTGTCGATCGCGCTTCAGATCCTGATTGGCAGTATGAGCGACGGAGAGACAGAGAGAAAGAGCGAGATATATATATGTATATAGAGGTAAAAGAAAGGGAGCAGTATATTAAAAAAAATAGCGAGTGTATGTAAGCGATCTACAGTGCTCTTTAGCGGACTCGACGCGACTCTAACGAAGACAGGCCGTCTCGCGGACGGCGGATCTCGACTTTTTTTTTCTTTTTTTTTTTCTTTCGAAACGCGCGACGTCGCGGCGACGAGGTTCTCAGCTCGACGATCCACCGCGACAGGACTGCTGCCAAAACTTCGGTCATCGTTCAGAGCGTCGAGGGGATGACGTTACGTTCCACCATCACCTCGGTAGTCGCTTAAGCACAACATGCATCATCGGCGCAAGCTCAGAATTTACACAGAATTTCTAACGCTCCGTAGACCAGCAGCACCATAGTATGCCGGATTCGTGGCGTGCCGAAAAAGTGCGAGGGTCTCCTCGCCCTTCTTCACTCTCTCTTTTCCGTTTCATTTTGCTTCGTGAGGAGGTCCTGACATACGGAGATTAGAGTCGATGGTTTTCTCACCGAGCTCGCATCGAAACACGCGCGCACTTTCGCGATCTTCATCGATTTTTGCGCAATCTTCGGAATTGCCGATTTCGTTTCATTAACGTGCGACCAACGTTCGGCTTTCTTTTCGCAGAAATTTTTTTCTCACGACGAAAATTTCACATCACATTATCCGTTACATCTGCAATTGTCAATATAAATAGCGAATAGAAGATTTTGGAATAAATCTTTTTGAAAACATTAAAAAATTGCGAAAAATAAATATTTCAAAATTTTGTTGCAATAAATGATCTATTACTTAGAATATACAAGTGCAGAGAAACACTATTCACGCGCTCGTTTATATAGGAAATAGAAAGAAACGTCGCATATTATAATCACGTGTTTTTCGTCAAACATTAAAGGCTTGAAGATAAGTATATTTTTTTTATAACTAATATTTTTTTTTATTTTGAAGTACGTTTTATCCGCATTCGAGGTTCTCTCGCAGATGCCTCGCTAGTGCGCGCGTGTTTCGAAACGTAAGCGCGACCGACGAGCGGATGACGATCGTAACGAAGGGTGAATTATTTTCGTCCGATCGTGGATCCACTGATTTCGTCGGCCGAGGAATCGCCAAGGGATAAATATATGTTAAATCATATATACGATATTTTCGCTAGCCACGCGCTCCGTATATACCTCCGACATGCACGTGGCGTATCGTTTCATAAAGATCTCTCTCGCGAACGGCAACGCGTGGCTAACGATCGAAGAAAAAAAAGTAGTAAGCGATCTATAAATACATTACGAGGCGTAAGCTCTGATACGAACAACATTGCAACGAACGACAGTGGGAAGCGAAATCAAGAGAGAGAAAGAGAGAGAGAAAAAAAAAGATAGAGTCTCTAGAATTTTTCTTACACGATCGTCTTTAGCTGAAAGCCGATACGTATCTTGTGTATACGACCTGAAAACGATGCGAGAATAAACGCGATAAGAACATCACAAACTGGATATTCTAAGACATTCGTGAGATACAATCCTTTCAGTACCGATTTCAAATTCCAGAAAAATCATTTGAATTGTAGAAAGAGGATCCAATCGTGAAAAACCGCATGTGATGTTGATAAAATCATGGGATTCTTTTCCTGCAAATTTTCTTTTCACCATGTTAGCATCGTGAATATTTTGATAGCGTTATTGGTATCCTAAAAGCTTTTACTATAGTGATATGTTGCACATGGAAGTATCGGCATTAAGGAGATTTCAATAATGACACTATATGTGGCGTTGTCAGGATCGTAGAGATTTCAGTTATGGTACCGTATGTGTAACATTTCCGATATACGCTTCAATCGTGATATGACATCGCGATGGTACTGAAAGGGTTAACAAATGTATTCTCGTATCGTTAGAATTATACGCGACCGTTTTGCACATTTTTTGGCTAATAGAGAAATAGCGGGACTCTTGTTAGAAATAAAAATGAAAGAGACAGGAGGCTAGAGCTCTAAGCGCGCTCGGCAGTGTATTCACAATCGCAATAATTATGTACTTATAACTTAAGAATACGACTATATGGAATTTCCGGAAAGTGGCCTGAATCGTTTCGTCGTTCAAACTTTACAGCGCGTTGGAAAACCGCAATGTCATTCATAAGAGATCAGCAAAGGAAGAGAGAAAGAGAGTAGAGAGTCGATTATACATTTATCGCGAAAGACGTACACGCTTTTCCATTTGGAAAGTTTCTCCGATTGAGCACGGGCAAGTAGACGCAAACATCAGCTCGGAAATCTGTGAGATTAGCATCAGATTATATATGACTATCAGCAACTAGTTTCTTGCACTTTGCTTAATGACGTTGAAAATTCGCCAACACCGAGAGCATTAAATTGACTCGATAAAGAGATAAATTTAGCTGATACCGTGATATCGCGCTATGCATATTCAAAGTACATTAATTCAACTTTGTCTCGTAAGTGCATCAGTTAACCCTCGTTTGTCAGAGTATAATATATTCTTCTTACGATAAGAAAATCTTGAAAAACACACACGTACGTTTCGCAATAGATGCAATCTTTGACTCGCCCGCGATACCGAGGCCACTTTACCGGAGTCCAGCTACAAAAAAAAAAGAAAAAAAAAGAAAAAGAATGGAAAGTGTACTCCATGCATAAGCCGTGGTACCATTAGCAGATCATCATTGGAGTCGCGCATCCGCTTCTTGCCGAGCTCGATGCTCGCCATACTGGCGCTCTGCAGTCCTCCGGGCATCGCAGTTGCCGGAACTCCTGACATTCCGCCAGCCAACGCACCCATTCCCGCCACACTCGTCGGCATCGTCGCCGTCTGCATTTTTTTCCGTTTTTTTTTATTTTTTATTTTCACACACGTTCGTTCGATTTTTCCAATTCATTTTTTTTTTCCGTGACATTTTTATGCGTGCAGATTTCGTTTTTACAGTCGTACATGGAGTTCCGTGCATCGCCGTGCGTCGACCACATCCGGTTCCGTTTCGGCCGTTCCCGAGACGTCCCCAGTCGAGATATTTTCATTTTTTTTTTGTTCGTGTGTTAGAGCACATTTATACATATTTTGTTGTATCGTTGCGGTATGGTAGTGATGGTGGCATACATATATTTTTTTTTCGTATATTTTGGCATATGCATGCGGTGGTATCGGTCGATCGTGCGTGTGATATTATTTATGTTGATTTTATTATTTACGTTGATATATAAGTGTTTTTTTTTTTCGAGTTTCGGTCGGCAATATTTCGCAGGCGTTAATTGGCAGGTAGCGAAGCGCACGAAGGTATTGTCAGCAAGCATGTAGAAGCATCGTCAGGCGCGGAAGAGGGCAAGATAAAAATCAAAAAAAGAAAAACAGACCAGTTGAGGCTAAGGCAAGAAACGACAGTCGCGATATATAAATATATATATATTTCTTTTTAATTTTATATAGAAAAAAGTACACACTTGTATGTGCATGTGTATGCGTGCGGGTGTAAATGAGTCTGCGCAATAGGTATTTTTTGCTTCATGTTCGCGCGAATTATCGCGCTTACATCACATTACACGCACACGTATACACGCGCACATGGATGTACGCGCGGAATTAATCGCTTACGATATTTTTGCACGATCGCGCGTAAGACGATACACGCATGCCAATTGCGTGCGTAATATTCACATCGAGGGTTTAAAGTGTATCGCACGAGTTATTCTCGCACATAAATCCCGAGTGACTAAATAATTTCCCACTCGTGTTACGTCATTCGATCATAGCTACATAAGTAGATTTTTTATTCTCTCTTTTTTTACGCGCTGTGTTTAATGAAAATTACGCGAAAATTTCGAAGATAGACTCAAAAAGATAGAAATAGACGCGTGACGTAGATTTTTGTACACGTTCTTCAAACGCACGCCGGAATTCTTGCGAGTGGAACAAGAACGATTCTAGTCAGACGCGCGATCGCACAAGCTTCTTCGTCCGATAAACGCGGCTGTGAATAACGATTATGAGTCGACCATTTACATAGTTCGAAAAAATTCGAAGAAAGATATTCTCTCTATAATATTCGTAATATCGGTTTTTCATATTCGCGCTTTACGTATTTCTCGCTTCATTCAGAACACGATGGCTCTCGAATTACTGGACAATTGACACGCGTGTACTGCAAGCAAATAACGCGATTGCCGCGCTTTCATTTACTTCCGATGCCGCGTTTATCGGAAATTCAACCGCGTCACCCTTTTAAAATGTATTTAGCGATGACTCGCAGAACACGCACGTTTCTACGAGGCATACAAATATATAAAGATATCACCAATTAATAGTAGTGGCAATAATAATAATTGTAATGACGGTGATGATAATAATAATAATAATAATTATGACAATAATCAATAATAATAATCATAGCACGTTAGGTAGGACCAACGGACGTAGCTGGCGTCAGCGTCAATCGGCGAGCTATTTGGCACTAATTCGTTATTTTTTATCGACGTTAAGGCGAGAGAAGGAGAGAGAAATAGAGATAGAAAAGTAACGCATCTACGTGGCAGAGTACGCTGTCTAGAGTGACTAAAAAAAATGAAAAGCGGAGATCTCTTAACAGTATTGGAAAATCAGAATCGGACGTGGAAAAGGGGCGCGTAGATAAAGAGGGACGCGAGGTACGAAAGAGAACCGGTCCCACTTCATCGGGTCCATCGACATCGGGCTCTCGGCTGGCGTTTCTGACTGCGGCAACACCTGCAATAATCGAGGCATTCTCTCCAAGTTCATTAGTTTTGCGTCTATCTTTCACAATCTGTATGTTTGCCGTGTGGACATACTCATATGTACAAGTTATATATATACATATATATAAATACACATATATGTAATTTGACTCTTTGGCTTCCCCTTCCACTTTTCTCTCTCGCTTTGCATCAGCGTCTGGCCACCGCTCTTCTCTCTCGGCGGCTTGCGAAACGGAGAAGGCGATCGAGAGAAAGAGAGAGAGAGAGAGAAAGAGAGAGTGATAGAAAATTATATATATATATATATATATATATATATATATATATATATATATATATAGTGAGGAAATTGTGGAAGAGAGTTTTACAGAGAAATGCGTGCAAGAGACTGTAAATGAAGCAAAAAAAGAGGGCCGTCTCTCTTAGAACCCGTACTTCTCGTCTTTCTATCTTTACAATACCTGAAAAATTTACGAAAAAGACATTGATTTAGTTTGTAAGTTAATTTACATCATTTTTCGTGAATATCCAAGTGTATGGTGTTCTCTTGTTCAAATCTCGAACTCGCTGTTGTCGTCGGCATCTTCTTTGAGGGACAGGGATAACGATGTCGTGATTATGTTTGTGATACATGTTTGTATATGTAAGTAAATGTGTCGATATGTGCATGCGCGTATATATATATTTACATGTTCGACGATGATTTTGTTCTGTACAAATCGAGAATGCACGAGCCTGTATGCGGCTCGCGCGTGTCATATGCGGTTTCACAGTGATAGATCTGCACTTATACGTGCTGGGGATAAACTTTGTGTCATATACTTGACAAACATTCAGGTATGGCGTAACAATTCCGAAGAGTGCATTACGTCGCGACGATGACCCTCGTTGGCGAGACGTCATTGATATGCATACAATCCGGGCTAATGATAAAATATGTTACAGAACTCATCGTAATGTTGAAGTGATATTACTGAAAGAACTTTGTAACCATCACAGGAAAACATATGTAATATTCGAAGCAAAACAACGGAAAATTTGTTTGTTGTAAGCGCATTTTTTTGTGGCCAAAATGCAATTTATTATCGAAATATTATTGACAATTTTGTTGCTAAAGTCGTGCTACTGATTAATTTTATACCTTTCAAAAAACGTTTTACGTGTAAAGATTTTATTGGGGGAATTTTGAAAATTAAGAATAAACGCGATTTAAGTTTTCTCGCGGCGTCGAACCATCGACGGGTCATCCGAAAGAGGGAACGAGAAGAAAAAACTGAAGAGAATTGACAAAACAAAGAATTTTCTCCCGTATTCCGTGAGCACGTTTCGTTCTCTAAGAGATCGCGATGTCGGTCCGTAACCCCCGAGGCAAATTCGGACGAAAAGGCGATTTCGTCGGTGTACGCGGTGTATGCACCCTTGGGAAATTGAAAACCACTTTTAGAGAATGAGACTTCCCTGCCAACAAGCTGGTCTGCCGCAATCATCCATGTGAGACTTTTCCTCCATTGTGTCCGGGTGTGGCTGCAGGTCTTCCGCGCGACGTCGCTGAAAGTCTTTCTCGCTCTTTCTCTCTCTTTTACTTCTGCTTTTTCTTTTCTCTATAGCTTTTATTCTCTATTCTCCCGGATAACAAATACGCTCGTATCCCGGAGACAAGGTTCACGTATCGAAACACGGCGATCGAGTCCGCATCGGAAAACGGGGTGCGTCCACCCCCGCGCTGTTTACGAATAACGCTACGATTTCGAAACAGCCGCCGTCCAGTCGTATTTTGTGTCAAACACGTTCGTAAAGAAGGAAATCTCGATTATTCGATCGAAACGAGCTCATTAGTCATCGAACCGTTGACCCCCGAGCGCCAATTTTTTATGATCGTAAATGAATCGTTCCTCGCGTTTAATTAAAATAATAATGAGAGAAATAATAAACAACGAAGAGAAATATAATCGCGTTCGCGATCAACCCGCTAGCGTATCTTCTTCAGAGAAACGAATGGAATCAGGCCAAGAACGATCGGAGGACAACGGCGACCGAACGGTTCCTAATTTAAGACCCGTCCTACTTTTAATGAACGAGTCGCGAGCGAGCGAGTGTGCCGCTAACGTTGTCAACAAACGCGCATCAAGTGACGAGAACTAAGAGACAGATTTGACAACGGAAGTTGGACAACGACATTTCATCGCCTGGCCCACACACCTCCCAACAAACCCGTCGTATATGTTCGTTTCTTTTACTGTTTCTTTCTTATTTTTTTTTCACCGTCTTCTATGTATCTTTCGGGGACTCTTAGTGTAGCGTTTTTGTGTGGGGCAGCAAAACAGCAGCGGGGTTGATAGCCGGGTTTCGTGCAGCACAGCTTGTCAGCAGGGTGGTGTACGTGTCATTCGTAAAAGATTTCTTTTCTCAACTACATCTTATTTACAAGAATGTGACCGAATCCATTTCCCTTGTATTTCAATTCGATTGAAAGGCTATTTGGCAAGCTGCTTATAAATTATATAATTCATGTAATAAAATCTCTCACAAATTAAGTAATACAATATAATTGCACGTGTGATTATTAAATTATATATGATTCAAAATGCTATTAATTTCGGTATTAATTTATCTATTCGACAGACAAAACGTCTGTCTAACAGAATAATGCGAACGATATAAATTCTTATCTAAATTCTAGTCGTTGAAATTATTCTTGAAATTTTCAGTGGGAAATGGAGCGTGCACATGGCTGCGAAAGTATTTGTATTCATTATGACCTAAGAGGTACCGAACAGGTGATTGGTGTATTGCAACTAGTTCTTTGCACCTGGGTAGCTGCGATAGGCTGCTAGAAAGAGAGAAATAGAACAGTGGTGTTTTGGTGATGTTAACAAGAATTTTGCCTCGTGTTCTACTCACTACACACTACAGAAACGGCTGAACATCATACAGGAGTATGTAAAATATGGACAAACACAAAAGCGACAAACATGGGACGAGAACTATACAACATATCGTCGGGAGAAAATCAATAATAAAATCGAAAATAGTAATTGCACTGTAAGACTAGGAACGGAATTCAAGGATAGGAGAAAAGATATTAAAATAAATGGTCTTTATGGTAGTTATACCAGGGAGACGATGCTTTTTGCATTCCGTTTTCTCTCTCACATTTCTATCAAAAAATTAGCTGAAATGTAAATTAATCGAATAAATACTGTGAAGAAGACAGGTATTAATTTTATCATCGAAAAATATCATTTTACGTGATATCATATATTCTATCAACTTAGCGCTGATAATTTGTAGTTTGAAATTAATTAAAAAATAATATTCGCATCATTATGGCACGGAGATTCATCGTACTCCTGGCATAACTATCATGCACTTCGAGCACTGCGCAACAATTAGCCAATATTATCGTTTCATCGTTCATCTCTGTCGTCACGCGTGATAACGATCGTATGTATAAATACATGTAGATCGCGCATGTATCTCGGCGTCTCTCTAATAGTAGACCTCGATACGTGTCCAGATGCGTGTGAAACACATAAAGAGGCTAACGCAATCAAGAGAGAAGCTTCACAATATACATTCGACCGTAGATTGGCAAAAAGCGGCGCAGCTGCTCAAAAGCTGAACAAAAAGCTCCTTTCGACGTAAACCCAAGAAAACTGAATAAGAGAAATGGAAAAAAGAGATTGTGATAGAGACACAGAGTAAGAGTAAAGAAAATATGGATTCGAGGAGCAAAGTGAGAGGAGAGAAAGAGAGATCTGGGATTAAGAGGTGGGAGGAAATAGGGACAATGTGCGGTCGAGGGGAACATGCGTGCACTTCGAGTCCTTTTGTTCTCCGCGAGCGACATCTTCGGCCTTACGAAAGACCTTTTCGAGAAGGTCTTTTTATTTTGCTCATCGATTACCTCCGATTCTTCGATTTTAGAAATTTTATATTTTTTGTCCGCTCAGGCGTGTTTTTGATAGAGAAAAGTACAGTGGGACGGCAATACGATTGTAATGTTAATCTCGCGGGCGATGTACGAGAGATAGAAAGAGAGAAAGCGAGAGATCAACCATCTTAGAGTACAAAATAGAGCCAAGCGATTGATTCACAATAATTATGTTCGAATAAAAAAGAAAAAAGAAAAAAAGTGAAGCAATTTCTTTCAAGCTTGTGTGTTAGGCGAAAGCGCGATAGATTCTTCTCTTTCTTGATATGCTTTTCACATTTATATAACTTGTCAAAGATAAATCTATACATATGAAAAAAAATAATGATTATTTTCAATACATATATTCTAAAATGAAAAATCTTTGTAACTGTAGTATTATTCAGCAATATTATTAATGTATGAAATATAAATCGATACACAAAAATTGCTTAATTAATTGCAGACGAAACAGAAATGTGTACTACGAAATGTGTACTACGAAATGTCTAATGATTCATTAAAATTAATTTATCCATCTTTAATAATAAAAAATATCTTTTTGGATTTTTTAGAAATGATACTTGATATATAGTGTTACATATATGTTATATTTAATACAATCAATTAATATTTATCCTTTTAAAGAAAAAAAAAAGATAATAATCCACATTATTTCAGTCGTAAAATATCCACATTTTTACAGCAGAGATTTAATAAATAATTCTTTTTAATGTGGTAAATGCATTGCAACAACAGTGAAACTTGATATCGCGAAACACATCCCCGTCATTTTCTCTTCACGACAAGCGACATCAACACCACTGTACTTTATTATCGCAGCCCAACAGTAAAAAGGACAGAGCATCGGGCGCTATTTTACCCTTTCTGACATCGACCAATTTTCAGCGGAGAGATAATTAAAAAAAAAAATGAAAAAAGACACACTTGCATGAAGCACACGCCACATGGAACGATCTGCGAGGTCGAGGCTGGAAAAAGGCAGAAAGGCAGAAAAAGAAGAAAGTAGAAAGGAAAAGAGATTATTAGTGTCGTCGTTTGACCCATTAACATCAAGAATTTTTATTCGTTCATCGTTGCATAAAACGGCTATATACTGTATAATAAAATAGGACAGATGTAAAAAAAATTTTTTATCTATGTATTTTCATTTCTTTCACATGATATACTATCATATAATGTATACATCCAGACAACATTATCCCGCTGACATTTTCATAAAATAAATTCTATCAAAAAATTGTAATTCTGTTTTCATCATATCATTTATATTCATCTGAAATTTTATCTAATGGGACAATCGTTGACACAGAATATGGCAAAAAGCGTCGGTGCTTTCACGACAAAAACCATGTAATGCTACGAAATATTTTCTTGAATTATGTTAAATTAATATTTTGCTTTTGTATGTCATGTTTAACGTTACATTTTATATAAAACAGAATTCTATCGCAATTCACCGACGATCAGAATGTATAAATAAAGATAGAACAGATAATTTGGATGCATAATGAAGACAAAACAAAGGGCTAACCCTCTGTGTCATTTGAGAACTCAGAGATTTTAAAATAATGGATTTCGTTACGTAAAGAAAGAAATAATCAATGAGGTACTCAAACTAGTCATCAGGTCAAATTAAGGAAAGGGAGGGACGAGATAAAACAAAAGCGCAAACAAAAAAAAACGGGATGAATGAACAAATCGAGAGCAAGGAAGAAAAGAACATAATTGTGAAGGTTAATGTTACAGAGAAGAAGGGGAAAAATGTGAGAAATGGAAGTAATAAAGAAATAGAAAAATAGAGAAAGAGAGATCAAGAGAAAAAGAGAGAGAAAGAAAAAGAGAGAGAGAAAGAGAGAGAGAGAGAGAGATAGAAAGAGAGAGAAAGAGAGAAAGAGAAAGAGAGAGAAGAGAGAGAGAGAGAGAGAGAGAGAGAGAATGCATTACCGCAATGCTAGCCCGAGATTGTGCGGCCTTAATGTGGGCTTGAAGGTGCAGAGGGGGGTGGAAATAGCGGCAGGGGTCCCGATTGCATCGGCCCTTGACAGCGTCCATGCAGACCGTCACAGAGCCGTCCTCGTTCGCCTGCACCGTCTCGAGGGGGTGCGCAAACCGGCACTCCGTCTCGCCGCGTTTGCACGCCCCGCGTTGAAACTCGCGACATACCTACAGCAAGAGCGAACACGCATGGCATGGCACTCTATCTATGTGGGCGAAAGGGGGTTTTAGGGGGGCTAGAGGCTAAAGGGGGCTGGCTGGCTGGCTGGCTGGCTTGGCAGGGCCGGGGGCGCAAAAGTCAGACAGGGAAGGTCGATCGGAGGTCGTCAAGGGTGGCAGCTCAGGGATAATGGGTGAGGCGATTGTTCAAACGGTCGCTGGCTCTCCTTCGATTACGATCGCACATTTATACTGCTCGATAGTTGCTGGGAGCTAAAGATGGATAAGATAGATGGATATACATACAGAGGAAAAAAGAAAGGATGAGTGATCGGATCTTTTAGTAAAAAACGATGATATCTCATGACTTTTTGACATCTTAATGCAAATCTTCTGTTGAATCGCATTGAATCCTGCCAGGATTACGTTAGATTAAATTTTTCGTACGACGTTTGAAAAAAGTTCACATCTTATGAAAATAGATTTTCATTTATACGATTTCTTAAAATATAAATAGTATGTAGAAAAAGTTTACATCCGATGTTTTTCGGTAAAATTATGTAATACGTAAATTGATGCATCTTGCTATTTAAATTAAAATAATTCGAAAGCAACAAAACGGAAGAATATAAAATTGCTGTCGATTGCGAGACCACTTTCTTATTAATTATTTTCTTATAATATAATTGATAAAAAAATTTCAAAGAAAGTTGAATGAGAGGAATTCCGGGTTGACTTGAATAGGAAAGATTAACTAATATAAAAAAGAGGAAATAGAAATTTTTATGAACATTAGATATATCGAGGAACATTGCGTTACGAAACAGGATCTTTCTACTTTGGCGTGAACGAGCATTGGCCGTGAATACACGTTACGAAACATGTAAACGCGCGAGAAGTCAATTAATAGGTCCGGCTAGTAAAGCAAACAGCTTCAAAGCCGGCGCCAGTGTACCGTAATTTTATGGAGCCTTTAAAAGCTGCGGTTTTCTCGTAAAAAAGACGCCTTTTTCTTGTCGCAGATTTTTAACTTTATTGCGGCGCGACGCGTTAATTTATTCAATAAGATTCTTTACGTATTCTTATATTCATGTTTCGTATTATATTATAAACGACGTTTTATATTATAAACGAAACATGAATATAAGAATACGTAAAGAAATAAAATGCTTAAATTGAACAGATTACAAAAATTAATTTTTTACAACTTATAAATTTATATAAAGTGAATAGGAAATTTATCAATATATGAAATAAAAATATTGGAAATCTTAATAACGTGTATTCACGGTTGACACCTGGCCGCATATAGACTACAGGTAGGCTAGGCTTTTAGTGTAGTTGACAGCCACAGAGCTCGTGCCGAACCTGGCAAAATGTACAGGCAGGACTATGTCGTTTTTTTTTTACACAAGACGGATGTATACAGAGAGGCAAAAAAACGAGGAAAATTAAACAAAAGATAGGACGGATGAAGAATGAAAAGTAGAAGGGAAGAGAAAGAGAGAAAGAGAGAGAAGAGAAATAGTATAGAAAGAAAATAGACTAACGTGTAGCTAGCAATTGGACCGAGTGATGAGCGTTCCGTTTATGGACTTCGGGTCTGTTTCGGGGGAGGCGTTAAAAAGAGCCAACTTGACACACATTCTTTTTTCTTCGTCGGTATAGTTTTTCCTTTTTTTTCTGGCCGTTGGTATGCTGGTTCCAGGTGACAGACACTCAACTTCGACATTCGATATTCGTGCAGACAATTGATTCTCTATCGCGTCTCTATCGATTTTCTATGCGTTCTTTTCTGTTCTAACGAAAAGAATGTCTCTAACGAAAGCTATTTATGCTCACCAAAAGTAGTAAGTCTACTTACCGATCATTATACACGCATACACACACGGAATATGTATCTGTAAGGATTATCATTACTACGAGAACGCGAATACTTTTCGCCGGGGATGGACGGAGAGTCCGTGAGGCCAGCCGACTCGTGTCACCGGACTAATTTTAGCATCAGCAAGAGAAAGACCGATGCTTACCAACGCCCAGAAAAGGAAGAAATTAGATCGCTCTACTCTATTCTATAGAGCTGAAATACCGTGTTCAAATCTGTCAAAGAGAGGCGTAGCACGCGCCGTTACTCGGTGCACCCTCGCCCCGCCCAATAAGGTCGAAGGACATACGGGGTATGGATGGTGACGGGGGAGGATACAGGATAATACGATAAACGCCTCCACGAGCATTCTTTGGTATATTATCAATCGGATTAATATGCGTACGTGTTAAAGGAAAACTCCGCAACATGCATCACTTACTACATTCCTTGTGCATACTCGCTGCGTCTCGAGAAAAGCAGAAGGTCGGATAAGACCTAGAATTTGCTGATATTCTTCTTAGATAATCGTGAGAGGACGCTACATTGAAAGACACTGCTACAGATAATAATTTCGTTGCAAAGTAAGCTCGACAAAAAGATTCGCTAATTTTTAAATAAAATTATAACGTTGAAAATGAAAACTTTTACTTTTCTCAAGGTACGAGATTCAGAGCGTATTCTAGAGTATCATGCATATTATACATAATTTTGAAATCTACGCGCTGAAGCACTATTTATTTTGTCCGGTGTTATCTGTCAGCTTTGTTTTTTTTTTTTATTTGATTGAATCATTCTTTTCCATCCGATAAATCTATACAGACATCACGGGTATCTGCGTTCAATGCAACAGGATAATAAAGGTAATAACGCGCATTACGCACGAGCGTCACTTCCGCGCGCGAAGTGACGCTCGCTCGTGTTTGCTTCACTTTCTCCGCGCCTTGTTCGAGTGTGTTAATTCGAGTGCACGCACTCGGTCGCTCGAGTGTGAACCGCGGGTTAAAGTGGGCTTTCGGCAAGCTGGAAAGCTCGTTAGGAAATGCACACGTATACAGACATTAAACGGTTAACGAGAGAGAAAGAGAGACACGCACGCGCGCACACGCACATACACACACACACACACACACACACACAGATACACGCACGTATACACGCATACGGTCTGCATAGATGCTTGCAGATGACACACAAGTGCGTGCAAAGACAAAAGACACAATGGCGTGTGTAGACAGCTAGACGAAGAAAGAGAATGTATGTGTGTGTGTATGTATATATGTGTGTCATATCGCGATTGTTGCGAGACAGATAGCGTATAGTTGACACCGCGGCTAAAAGAGTGAGAAACAGGTGCGACGAATGGTCCTTTTGAGTTCCTAATTAACGACGGACGGCCGGCAAGTGGCGCGCGCGCGCGCGCGCGTGGGAGTCAATTTTAAGTAACGCTCGTAAATTTTCACCCGAGGAAAATTACATCGGAGAAAATGCGACATGCCATAAGATTCCGGCAGGAGCGGGAACGTTTAAAACGAATGAAATTTTGGATCTGGACCTCCTGCGAAGAATCCAGATAATTTTTGTTGAATTTACACTTTGGCGGACAAGATCAGCGTCTCCTTTTATATTGTAAAAAGACGCCTTTCGGGATTTTATTGTTAATTATCTTATTATTTGATGTATGTCAAATTTTCAACATTACTGTCCATCTTTGATTTGTAAAAATTAAAGTATTCTAAAATTCAATTTTCAATTTGCTGCGGTATATTACTCTTTTTGATATAAAATTATATAATCAATTTCCGCGATAGTGATTCGACATTAAAATATCAAACGAACCATCGCGCACAAATTAGTAGTAAAAATTAATTACCGTAGAAATTATACTTTCTCTCCGTATATATACGTATGCGATAAGCACATATAATAATTGATAGTGGTGCACATATCCGAGTATAATTCACAGTGCGCGAAATGATATTTTTTTACATAATCCTCGCGCGTCATAGATCCCACTTTTATTTGTAAATTCGATATATTTCAACGATCCCACTTTTATTTGTAAATTCGATATATTTCACCGACGTTGGAGCTCTTCTATTTAGAAACTGTCTTAAAACGCGTGAGAGAAGCAAGCAGCATTGAAACGAGCAACGATGTCAGCGATCCGTCGCGTGCACCGTTCCTCGAGAGAATTTCGATATAAAGTACCTCTTTGTTAGCAAGCATAAAAGATGTGAAATGAAGTCTACTATACTTATCGCAGAAGCGCACACGCACATAATGCTACAGCAGCTGCAAAAAAAATTACGAAAAAAAAGAACTTAAAATCATGGAGAACTGTGTACACGTGTATCTTGTATCTCGTAAGTTGTGTATGCTTGTTTTACGTTATGTATATGGATACTTGCATGTATGTGTGTGTGTGTACACGAGATGTGTACGAGAGAGAAATATCTGTTGTATATATATATATATATATATATATAAATATATATAAAAATATGTAAGGATATATATTTATGTTGATAATGTGCCAATAAATATCAAAAATTCGCATGCGATCATACTGCATAAAGCACCTCCTCCTAGCTGTAAAAGTAAACACATAAGTCGCCGCTGAATGTATACAACAATTAATAGAATTAGTAAATAAGTAACGTGTTTGCGATTGCGACAGAACAAAAATCATAACTCTGGCGCTGAAAAATCAGATACACATGTATAGATATATATATGTAGGTATATCAAATACTTGTAAATCGGATATAATATATATAGAAAGATATGTATTATATATATAGTCGCAAAAAAATTATATATTTTGCCGACAATGTGTGAAATACGAGAAGCTGTAAAGAGCATTAGCTTTGTGCAGAGCTGTTGGCCGTGCACGCCGATTGTCGTCGTCGACGAGAGCTTTTTCACGTATAAATATGAAAAATATATCTTTTTCCATACAAAATCAATGTTGTGCCAGTACGTGTGTTTTTTTTTTTCGTTTGCGCCAACAAAGTTACGTCTGCGCGTCGACGAGGCATCGGCGTGACAGGGTTTGGCTAGCCAACGAAAATAAATGTAGGCGTGTGTCTACTGAAGACGGGAAATCAAAAATTGAGACGCCAAGGGAGAAAATAAAATTCGC